CGTCCGTCTCTCCTCCTGGCACCTCGGGCGAGGTTGCATGTAAGAGTCCCCTGCTCCACCCAACTTCCGGTTGATTGTCCACCAATAAGAGCGGTCCGTGCCAAACCCCGAGAGCAATCCCTCTGGGCTTGTGTCTGGCGCCGGTTCCTCCGCTGATGAGAACCCCTGGAACGTGCTGACGGAGAGTGTGGGTGTGAAAAGCCAGTCGTCAAAAAAATCTGCCGGCATAGGTCTGTGAGGGAAGAGTGCATGGAACTCGTCTTTGAGGTATCGCTCCTCCAAGGCATAGTCCGGTACCCACCTGTTGGCGCTGGCCGGGGTACCTTCCTCAGCGAGGAGATATTCAACTCCCTCTTCCCCCATCTCGAGTCCAAATCTCCGTGACCTCGTTGAGTTGGTGCCACCTCGGTGACCCCTCCCCTGTTGTTGATTTGCTGAGTGGGTCCTGGTGCGGCCCTTGGGTCTGAAACCTGTGGGCTCCTTGTAGGGTGTGAGCACCGACCTGTGAAAGACCGGGTGCATTCTGGAACCCTCGGAGCGTCAACCGGAAAGCCACTGGATTGATTTGCGCCCGCGACTGGTAAGGCCCTAGCTTGTGTGTCTAAGCTTCTTCTAGCTAAAGTTCTGGCTGGCACTGCCCTGTGGCTGCTAACCGCAAGATCCAGACGGGTTGGGGGAGGATCCTGCCATTCGAGCACAGCTACAGAGAAATGGAAGCAGAGGAGATCGACGTCGACGAAGCCTATCACGGACTGGCCGGCATCTAGCTGGCGAGCTGCACACCAGGGGGAAAGAACTGTACCCCGCCACTCACCCCCACAGCACGGGAGCACCCGGAACCCGCACCAGAAGAAGGGGAGGGGGGAAGGGGGGCTTCGAGGGGGGATGGATGTCAGGGGCTCAGGAGCAGAGGCGCAGGGGAGAGAGAAAATGGAGAGCGAAGGGGAGGAATCTGAGGGCAGCGGAGGGCAGAATGACAGTGACCGAGAGATTCCATGAGCCTCTCCAGTGAATCAGAAGATTCCCAGAAGGGGCGCCGATGGCCAGGGCAAGGGGAGTCCCAGGGGGGACACACCAGAAGCAGGGGGCCAGCGGAGACTCCCAGAGCAGTTAGCTGGAAATCAGGACCAGCTTCCCCACCGGAGCGTAGTGGGGGAAGAGTCCCATAGGTCAGGGCCAGCGTCTCCTCCGGCAAGCAAGGAGGAGGAGTCCAGGCCCAGCTAGCGTTCCCGAAGAGGGGAGCAGCGACAGGAGCAGTATAACGGTCAGAAGGAAGGTGGCAGGCTGGGCGCGCGCGCCAAGTTCAAATGTACAGGCGAGCGGGACAGCAGGAAGCCCGGATTGGGAACCAGGTCCTAAAGCCCGCCGGAGGGAGGGGGAAGACTCGGGGGAGTCAGCGTCAGAAGAGTCTAGAAAGGGGAAAGCCCCGGCGGACAGGCGGACCCAGAGGAAAAGGGAGCAGAGAAAAAGGTGGAGCAAGGCTAGGGTCTTAAACTGGTGTCTGGGGGAGGAGACTCAGACGGAGCTTCAGCGGTCTAGCGTTTAAGACGTAGAGCTGCGCGCCGTGGTTGTAAATGAGAAACTGGACTTCAATAAAGACTATTTAATATAGCAACGGACTGGCGTTGGTCCTCTGTGAGCTGGGACCTGGGGCAGCTCTGACAAACGGTTTTTGTGGCTGTGTCATTTTTATACTCTCCATTTATCTTTAACATTTTAAATTCTTCTTTTTATTCTGGTACTTCACAGAATTAAAGATAATGTTAAGGCAATCATTCACATGTTCTTTTCCCTGCCTAACCTAAATTTAGTGAAGCTTGAGGTCAGAAACATCCACTTTGTTCTATTCCTTATTGATTTTTTCAAGAAAGCAGTCTATTCTTCCTTGTGTCAGGTGTCAAAGCTATCAAACTTTCCACTTGCATTCCACTTGCTGGCATTAGTTAACACTGTTTGCTCATCATGAAATGACCTTGAATTGTATGGCCTAGATAGGAACTATCTGCCCTTTCAACTGGGTCTAGGGGACCTTTTTATTTTGTAAAAGACAAAAGATTTATACGATCTGAAGAGAAACCAGATTACCTTTTGGGGCACAAGTTGTGCGTAAACAAAACCATATATATTAAAGACACTACAATCTCCTCTGTGCCTAACTTTTCTGA